TGCAGAAGGATATGCAGCTGCAGCTAGCAATCCACGTCGGAGAGTTGGAAGATCGGCTTGTTCAGCGATTGAATCAGGTTGTTTCGGTGGTTCGTTCGAGTCAAGAGTGTGGCAAGAAGAAGGTTACGTACCAAGACGAAGTTCCATCGGCAAGTTTGGGAGATGAGAGTGACACCAGTGTAACACAGGATCTGAGTGTATGTGCCGCGCGATTGGAGATCTTGGATAAACGCAAGCGAGGTCCGGAGCCTGTCTTCGAGGACCCGAGTCCACCGATGGAACAGCCGGCCAAGCGTACCCCGATTCGTGGAATCTTGACGCCGATTAAGCTGACGGGCCGTCTAATGCGTTCTAAATCCAAGAAAGCCGGTTGTAGTCTCACTCCTACATCGGCGAAGAAGAAGATTGCTACGCCTCTATCAAAGAGGCGTACTCTGACTCACAAACGTACGCCGGGAGTGTCCACAACAGCGGAGACGTCGTTGGAACGATTGCGCTACCGTGACAATGTGTTACGGGAGTTGAAGGACCTTGATGCAATGGAGCTGCAGCGTATCTATCGGGAGGAGAATATCCCGTATGACAAGAAAATTGATGCGATCTTTGACATTGCAGATTACCGGACTGAACGTGCTTTCCTTGCGGGTAGAGTCGAGACTGAACACATCACCATCTCGGATGATGTGCCTGCTCAACCGGATGAGACTGCTACGACTGGGGTGTGATGTGAGCTCTCGGTGCCGCAACTTTGGGGAGTCTGTCGATTTCTGTCCCAGTTACGATGTGAATCGTCGTGTGTTGATAACAAGGTGGAAAAGGTGCTTCTCTTGGTTGTTGTGCTTTTGGCTTTGGTTGGTCAAATTCGATGGGCGAGAAAGTGTGTCACTAATTGGCTTGACTTGTATGATCGGCATGGCGTGGAATTCCTAGATCTTACCGACTGTGTATATGTGGGGATTTCTCCCTTTTGTAAATCATTGTACATTGGGAAAACGACGCGCGATGTCGACACACGATGGCGTGAGCATCTTTATTGTTGCCGTAATCGTAAGCAATCGCATTTCCATCGTTGGTTGGCCAATTTCGGAATCGGTAACTATCTGTTAATACCCATAGATGTGCTAGTGGGTAAGGAATTGGGTAGACTGGAACAGGTGTATATTAAGCTTTGGTCACCTTTCCTTAATACCAGTGGTTGTACTAAGCATGGGAACAATGGTAAGAAGGGTAAAGCGGGAAGAAGGGAAAGAGCAGGAAGGCGGGGACGCGTTTCTTCTTGTTTTTCATCTTCCCGTTTGGTTTGGAAACCTATTCGGTTCCGGGATCCGTTGGCCAAAAATGGTTTGTTGATTTTTACGGATTCTTGGATAACCTTCTGGGTTCTGGCAATCATGCAACCGACTTACATATTCAGCCGGGTAATAACTGGTAACCCAGCTGGCACATCTTGGTTAAAGCCTTTGGCAACACAAGGATTGCGCATGAATCTGGTGATTTCTTGCTCAAGGAGTGTAAATCGTTGTTACAATCGGGTGGATGTTTCACTGTTTTGCACGTGTGTAAATGGACTGCACGATGCGGCTATCTGAAAAAGATTCTGGTGGGTATACTTCGTAACCCGCGCAACACTTCTGTGATTCGGAACTAGGGTATGAAATCGTGTCTACGGATTTACCGTTTTCACGAAAATCAATACGCAAATATTTGCGTAGGCTTATTTCACGTTGTTTTCGCGAAAATTTTGGTTTAAGCCTCTGCGCAGATCTTACCTTTCGTTTTCGTTATGACGATCGAATCATCATCTCCGAAGTACGGAAAGTGGTTAATGATGCCATTATGACTCTTGACTTACCTTTGTGTTTCCTGCATCGAGCGAGGAGGAAGGTTCGGATAGTGGGTACTAAGAATCCCACTGTTGCCGATTTGTTGCACAATATGCGTAGTTACTCAACACGCTCTGTGCTGACCTGCAACTGCGCAGGTCTGGACCTCCCACGCTCGTTTGAGCATGTGTTGTTCCGGTTGAGTGCTTTGGAAGGGATTCATCCCCTTCTGAGTAACTCGAACAATGTGCCTTGTGCACGTGTCATTGACAGACTACCGTCTTTCCAAGAAGAACTGCGTGCTGGCTTTGCCAACTGGAGTAACTGTAAATCGGCTCCTCCGTCCTTTTGTAATGAAATGTTGTCTCGTTGTTTTGTAAATGTCGATAATAATAGGCGCTGTCTTTTTACGCACGAAGTTCTGGAGATTAAGCAGAGATTTAATGGCTTGGTTTGTACCGCTATGGATCGTAATCCTGGCAAAACGGTTGTTATGTGTCCCTTGCTCTATTATCAGGCTATGATGGACACCTTTGTACTGAATCCTGGGAATAGCATTGTCGATTGCCCTGAGAGCGTTGTTATGAGGGAAATCAAGAACGTTATTTCGTCTGAGCTGATCACCTTTTCACGATGGGACAAGAACGGCAAGTTCGGTTCGGCGTACCTCTTGCCCAAGCATAAGGACTTGGGCGATTTCGCCCTATCTGTCCTTCGTTCGAGGAACCCATGATTCGTACTGGGCGGGTTGTATCCAAGGCCCTCAACCATCTGTTGAAATCGGTGCCTAAGCACTGGCATTTTAACCTACAGGCAGTATCTGGCTTGGCGCAGCTCTTGGAATCTGGTAACAAGCGATTCCTTCGTTTAGGTACGGATCGTGTAGTTACGGCATATTCCTTTGATATAAAGGATATATTTAGCAAACTCCCGCACTCCGATATCCGCCATGCTGTGGATTGGATCATTCAATACCACATTGAGAAGGGACGAGATTTTGTGCGCGTCAATGTGCGAGGACGCGGGGCGAGTTTCGGACTTACAACAGGTGGTGATCATTGGAGGAAATTGTACCTGACGAACATCCGTTCGCTCATCTTTCTTGAGCTCAACCATACCTACTTCAAAGCGACTGGAGTCCTGTTGAAGCAGGAGGTAGGTATCCCTATGGGTAAGAGCACTAGTCCTCCTTTGGCAAGCATTTTGTGCGCTTATTCGGAGTATGTGTTCATTTGCGGCATTGGCCGTGCAGCCCGGCATCTTTTTGCATCTCGATTAGTGGATGATGTCTTGTTGGTGACTTCGTCACGAAATGGGGATGATCGCATGATATTGGAGACATTCCAAACATGCTACCCCAGTAATCTGCAACTGAAACGTACTGATGAGGGAACGGGGGTGCTGGACTTCCTGGGTTGTCAGATTCGTATCTCGCAAACTTTCCCGTACATGGGTTGTGTGCAGGTATCGCGAAATGACGACTCCCTGTGGAAGGCCGACCGTTTGCTAATACTGAATGGGCAATCATTCCACTCATGGGGGTGCAAACGGCAAAAGAGCGCAATCATTGGCAGTTATCTCCATCGGATTGATCAGAATACGACTATCCGATCTGAGATTCCTTACAGAGTAAGGGCTTTGCGTCAGGAATTGATGCGGAAAGATTTCCCTAACCAATTCATTAAACAGGTACTCAATTGTTTTGCTGTTCGGCGGGGTGACATTTGGAGACAAACTGTCAAGCTACTGTATTAGCTGGATCACCAGACCAAGTTGTACGGGCTTGCTCTTTGCTTGCCCTTTTCCTTTTTGTTTTCTTGTGTTACTTTTCGTTATTTCTTTTCCTGATAATTTGCTTTGCGATTGAAGTTGGTTAGGCTTCACTGGACAGAGTCGTGCGATACCGTGGGTTGCTTTGATTTACTTTTGGTTAAGGCTACCTCGTGGAAGTGGACCCCGTTTGTTTGGGTCCCTCGGTGTCTATTTGGCCAACGCTGGGACCCTTGGGGTACCAGCGACGTCAGGGCCTGGTTTTCCGGGCCTGTTTGGATGGTAGTTGTCCTTGGAGATGCAGAAGGGAGTCAGGACCACGGTGTGCCTGTTCTTAAGGAGTCATATCGGACCTGTGAGCGTACGAGTAACATAAATAGATTGGTAGCGATTAGTTTGACCTCTTGGGTCGGCCAGTCCGGCGGCGCTTGTCAGTCGGATGGCAGGATAGCGGGAATGTGGCGGATCATTGGGTTAGATGGTTTGTTTGGTCGGACACGATGCATATTTTTCGATGTCAATCTATTTCGAGTGTTTCTACTACTCGTTATCGTGTACATGAGTGTATGTGCATGTGATGATTCCATATCCATTGGCCCAGTGAACCCAAAAGAATGGTGGCACCCGGTAGGCCCTCTCTCCCCAACAGCTCAGAATGTGAGGGGCAGGCAATGCGCGTCGGAAAACCAACTGCCCTAGTAGCTCAGTTGGTACACCCCCCCTGGACTGAACTGTTGAAATACAGACCACGTGCTGAGTTCGAACTCCAGTGAAGCAAATGAGTAAATGACTCAAAAAATGAGTGCATTCTGAATTACATAGGACCGATCAGTTCGATAATGACATCTCAAGGCCGTACCCTTTCTCAAAAAAAAAAAAAAAAAAAAAAAAAGAAGGTGCATTGGAGAAAAGAGGCCTGGGGAGTGACTGGTGGGTTCAGAAGACTAAGGTGAGACTGAGCTTGGCAGGATTTCAGAAATGGGGATGGATTTCACACATTGACACCATACATGGTGGCTAATCTAGCATGCGTGCACTTGGCCTGCTTCTTGCACAAGATTCTTCCTAAGTTCGTAATGTGATGCACACTGCGCATTGCACACTGAACAATTATGCAAGTGGTCGACTGGAGCCCATTTGTCTTTTTTGTTTTCTGTCATTCTTTTTGCTTGATTGTTCTGTTTTATTCAACTGGCAATAAACACAGGCATAATTGCGTTTCCACATGGGCACGTGGAAACGCAAACAGCAGAAAGCGATAAACTCTGAAAGCAATGTCATGAGAAATGGCAAAATCGTTCGTTCATAAACACAACGATTCTAACAAGAAGTGGATTTTCATTTTTTGACATTTGAAATTTGAACCCTTGATTTTGTAGGATGTATAGAATCTATAGATTACTTTACCGGCAAATTGTAGAGCGTCCGAAGATTTCATTCCTTGGAGCGTTGCGACAGTGAATGCGGCAGTGAAAGTGTCGCCCGCTCCGGTGGTATCGACCACTGTTGGAGCCGTAATTGCTGGCTGATTCAGATAATCACCATCCGGTTTGATCAGCAATGCGCCGTCGCTACCCCTCTTGACGAGCACTTGGGCGCCCTTCTGTTCTGACAAAAGACGCAACAAAAAAGTGTCAGTTATACATGGTGGTGACTCGTGACCTTCGGTCTCGACGCACCACTCGCCAAACGCCAACATTTTGAACAAACGCTTTTTCTCTACGATGCATTCAAATTTCAAAATGTTGGCATTTGGCGAGTGGCGCGGCAAGCCCTCATTTCTTCTCTGTTCTCCCAGCGACAAACTTGTTGCGACAAGCTTCAATTTCTCGCCTTTTCTTTCTTTCTTTCTTTTCTCCAAAACTGTGTAGCACACCGAACGTGTCCGGAGCTTTCACGAACGTCCACACACGTTCAGGTGTTCGGCCGAACGCCTCCCGAACGTGTTCGGTCGAAGTTGAAGTTCTGTCGAACATTAATGATTTTTTTTTTTTTAATTTTTTTCTTAGTTTTTTTCGATTTTTAACTCCTGTTTGGCTAAGAATTCGAACATGCCTCAGATTTTTCGTTTTTTTTTTTTAAAAAAAGGGCGATGGACTTTAGATATCATCATTGAAAGACCGGCCCCAGGCAATTCAGAACGATTTTATTATTTTCATCTGATAGACTGTAGTATCTGGATTCCAACTCTGATCTGTATTTTAAACAGTTCAGCGGTGTACCAAACTGAGATAGGCCCGTTGGTGCTCGTTCGCGTTCGGTCGCGAATGTTCGGGTTCGGCCACCTATAGCAAACACGACGCTACGCAGCTCCAAAACCTAAAAGGGGATCATTAGCCCCCCCTCCCCCCCCACAGCAAATAAATTGAAATAATAGAATCAAATCATTCAACAGAATTGACTCCACAATTCAATGTGTCGAGGCACAAAACCCCTCATTAGCGGCAAGCCCATCAGACAAACTTGAATGTTCGCAATTTTGCATCCACTGAGAACAATGACACTACCTCCGTGAGGCCGTCATGTGACTTCGGATGGTCAGCACCTAGACGGCAGGTGGTCTAGGTGCAGGCATTGCGAAGCTGGTTGTTACAGGAGCTTCTGCTACAACAAACATTAGTGTTTAGGATTTGGCAATGCGCGTTCACGAAGTACAGTTTTAAACCACCTGCACCTTTCTCAGATCTCAATGCCGAGCCTAAAATCGCCCTGCGCGTCAAAAAAATAAAAATAAAAAATGGCGCGGGCCTCGTTTTGTCTGGCTCCGCCAGCCATTTCGGTCCCGTGGTACTGAACCACGCTTGGCTCCCGAATATACCGGCGCATATTTGTTTTTCAAGCGAGGAAAGGTACTGGTGGTTTAGGTTTCAGCCTTTCTGGGTTTCCGTTTTCTGGTCTGGAATATGGGATTGAGGGTTTGGGCCCTTTGGGGTCCGGATGTTCATCAAATTAGGGCTTAGGATTTAAGGGTTACAGCATGAGGTTACAATAATTGCAGACAGTAGTTTTCTGTTTTTCCTTTTTTTTTAATCTGGGAATCTGGGATTGATGGTTTTGAACTTTTGACTCTTGAGGTCTGCAGGTCCAAATTTGAGTGCTCATCATCATTAGAGTCATTGTGGCCATCGCATAGTAGTAATCCTTGTCATTGAAGGAGAGCAAGCAAGTTGGGAAGAGAGAGAGAGAGAGAGAGAGAGAGAGAGAGAGAGAGAGAGAGAGAGAGAGAGAGAGAGAGAGAGAGAGAGAGAGAGAAGAGAGAGAGAGAG